CCTGGCAGGTATTAATTGCAAGGTGGAATTAAATGTAATGCGAGACGACGTAATCCGATTATCTCTCGCGGCACCTCCACTCCGATAAATTCGCCGATGAAAAATTTCAAAATATCTCAGATCAAGAGAATTTGTTCTTAATTCACAACGGGACAATTATTCTCTTTCAATGAGGATGAATGAATTATATTTGAAGTGGAAATAAACAATTTCCGAGATATCTCAGATAAAACGAGAAATTATGAAATAAAAAAAAAAGTTTTGCTGTGAATGAAGAACTGAAGTGAATTAATTTTCTCCTCTCTCCCCTGGTATTTATCATTCGGTCGTCATGACCTCATAAAAATACCCCCGGGGATGAAGATATTCAAGGCGTCGATGTGTCTGTAAAAATGCATCATCCAAAAAAAGTCACCCCCAAAAGGACAAAAATAAAATGAAATTCTTCAAAGTATCGAGTTCCGTATACGTGCTCGCGTGGCCTGCGCATTTATTGCTCTGCGCTTTCTCCGGTATGAGATAATCATTCGCACCCGGTGTGAGGATTGCACGTGTGTAGGGAAAGAAGAGGAGCAAGAAATTCACATGGAGTTATAAATGTAAAATAAGAGGAGTATTATCGCCGGGTGTTTGGAGTGGTTGGAGATTACAATGTGTTTATGTTGGGCATAAGAGCAAAATAAGATAAACTTGAGGTGTTCTATTTGGACGGATAAACCAACATCTCGGACTGAAGTTAAAAAACGTATTCACTTGATAAAATTAATTTTTGCATCATGTTCTGCACCTCTGAATGCCCATACACTTGGCTCGTATAGAAAAGAGTGGAAAAGAGTGAAAATTTTTTTTTATTTCTGCATTTCTGGGGCAAGTGAGGGGCGCAGTGGCATTAGGCGGGTCAGGAAATACAGAATTGCCGTTCACCCGGCGGAAAAATTCCATTTTGGCGAAAATCGACTTTCCTCCCGAAAAAAGCCTAAATATGGAACTTTGGCTTCGGGTGAAAGAAAAAAATCTGTACTTCTGCATTTCTGCCGCCTCCGAAGGTTTCATTGGCATCAGACGGGTCAATGAATACAGAATGAAGATTCACTCGGCGAAAAAATTCTCTGCACCATAAAAAAAAAACTTTGAAAAATGCCCACTTCAGGAATTCCTCAATTTTGTAATACGAAAGTAATTCAATTCATTCTAACTCGCGTGAACGTAATCTCAGCAGGCAAACTCCCCTATTGCCTATCATCACGCGACAGCCGATCACGAAGTGGCGTGGAATAAAAAACGAAAAAAAACAACCATAGGTTAAAAGTACTAATGATTGTGGATAGAGAGCCCTTTCAGCTTGAATCCTCCCCTTCAGGTGCTCAATTAGCGAGCAGAGAGATTCCCGGGATTCCCCGGAATCGCGCTGAGTTTTCGTAATTGGCCGTACGTGAAGCAGTCGTGGCATTCACCCATGCGCACGAGAAGAGCCAAATGTCCATCGGTTTCTTGTCTCAACTCCTCTCCGCGTATTTATCTTCCGTGTTTGATGGCCGTGTGGCAACTTCTTGCTGCCAACGCTTGGCGTTTCCCTAATTCGTCAGTGGCCTTCGAGAGACCGAGAAAGTCGAGGGAATTCCATTAGGGAAAAAAATTGCCTCGAGACAAATAAACGAAACGCGGGATAAATAAATAATGCGATCATTTGTTCGTGTGAATTGTGAATTGACGATTTCACGTCATTTCTAAATGTTCTGCTGAACATTCTAAATGGCACGACCTTAAGGTATATCTCAAGACAATACCAAACTGACTTTAATGACTTAATTAATTTATGACTTTATGATTGAATGGTTTAATTTATTGCATTCCCCTAAGTTATTGAATTCACAAAAAGATTTCCCATTCGGAATTTATTAGTCTAACACGGATTCGTTTTTTAAGAACATCGTAAGAACCGTTTTCTCATAAAATGGAAAAATCGAGTTTGGAGGACCCATAACCCGCGTTTGGCCTATGCCTTACATGCTAGAAGGTCCCATTTCATTATTTATTATCTCCTATACTGTGCGAGGTAATAAATATAGCTGTAGTGCAGCTAATTATAATTTTTTTCGATAGCTACAGAATATTATAAACATTATCTATTTTTTTTTTTTTTTTTTTTTT